CTGAGGCTTGTGGGATCTTAGTTTCCTGACCAGGGATTGAACCCAAGACCTTGGCAGTAAGAGCATGAAGTCCTAACCACTGGACTGCCAGGGGATTCTCCTTGACAATTTAAAGTGAAATATCACAGCAGAATTTATTCACAAAAATGAATGAAAAGGAGTCTGTGATTAGAATAAGTTTCTGAGTGGTTTGTTTGTTAGTAAGGAAAGCCATTAGTGACAGTTGATGAAGTCATGCTTTTCTGCAGTAGCTAAAGACATGTGCCCAGAAAAAAAAACAAATATACTTAAGACTATTAGCTTTTCAGCAGAAACAGTTACTCAAAGGAATGAGAACATCAGGAGCAATGTAATTAAAATACACAGCAAATTACTGAATTTTTCTTGGCTCATGATGAATCAACAGATGTTACTGATATTGCTTAGTTGTTCTTGTTTACTTGGGGAGTAATTGCTGACTTTAAAGTGACTGATAAATTAGCCATTATAAATAGTCTTTGTGAAACAACTGTGGGAGAGAATATTTCCTAAGAAGTTGAGAAAACACTGATTCAGTACAACCTGATGTGGAATCTACTAAGATGTGATACAGTTGATGGTAGTTCGAAATGTGTGTGAAGCCAAAAAGGATTTGTTGGAAAAATTTTTTAAACTTGTGAAATATAAAGTATTTAAAGCCTACAGTTATTCATTTTATTTTTCATCAGAAGATACTTTGAAGAAAATGTTTGAACCTATTATATATATATTTTTTTTACATAGCTGTATTGAATTATTATTTAAATGCAATTTACCCATTTGAAGTACACAGTTCAATGTGGAGTTTTATTTTTATTATTATTTGTTTTATTCACAGGGTTTGTGCAACAACCACCACAATCCAATTTTTAAAAAACATTTTTGGGGCTTCCCTTGTGGTCCATTGGTTAAGACTCTGTGCTTCAGATGCAGGCGTTGTGGGTTCAATCTCTCGTTGGTGAACTAAGATCCCACGTGTCTCATGGCTTGGCCAAAAAAAAATTTTTTTTAATTTTTAAACATACTTTTGTCTTTTTTAAAAGAAACCAATCAGCAGGCATTCCTCTCCCCATCCACCAATCTTTCACCTCTAAGAAACCACTAATGTATTTTTGTTTCTAGAAATTCTTGACATTTCTTATGAATGTAAGCTTACAATGTGCGATCTTTTGAGGTTGATATCTTCAATTTAGCATAAGGTTTCCAAGGCTCTTTTATGTTGTAGCATGTATCAGAACTTCATTTCTTGTTATTGCTGAACCATATTTCACAGTAGGAATGTACTTAATTTTATTTATCTAGTCATGAGTTGATAAACTTCTGGGTTTTGCCACTTTTTAGCTGTTATGGCTAATACTGCTGTGAAAATGTGAGTACAAATTTTTGTTTTGATGTATGCTTTCACTTCTGTTGGATATATACTTAGGAGAGAAACTGATGTGTCATATGGTGATGCAATATTTAACTTTTGGGAGAACTGCCAGACCGTTTTCCAAAATGCATGCCCTATTTTTACAATCCCACCAGCAAGAGTGGGATTCCAGTTTCTCAACATCTGTACCATAAGGGTTCCAATTTCTCCACATCAGTACCAAAACTTTCTGTTTTTTGTCTTTTTTGGTAATAGCCATCTCAGTGGATATGAAGAGGCATCTTATTGTAGTTTTTATGAGCATTTGTGTAGTGATTAATGACACTGGGTTATTCATTGTTTATCTTCTTTGAAATAATGTCTGTTTAAATCCTTTGTTTAAAAAAGGATTTATTTTTTTATTTAAAAATAATAATTTTTGTTTATTATCCTCTGTTTAAAAAAAGCTGGGCCATTCGTCGTTTTATTATTGTGTTATAAAAGTTTTTAGATATCCTGTATTCAAGTCCCTTATGAGATCTACTTTCAAATATTTCCTTCCATTGTGTAAGTTTTCTTTTTACTTTCTTGATGGTATCATTTGTGAAAATAATGTTTTTGTTCATATCTATGAAATCATTGCCTAGCCCAAGATCACAAAATTTATATAAACTCTCATAACACGTCAGCATTAGCAAGTAAGCATTTGATTTTAATTTTTAAAAGGAAATGGGAAAGAAAGAAAAGGGAAAACGTTGAACACTAATTAAACAAGATTTTTAAAAATTCCATCTCACTAGGCCTATCTTACTAAAAATTGTACTCAATTATTATTAGTTTAGTTTCAAATATGCAGAGTACATCATGAGAAATGCCGTGTTGGATGAATCATAAGTTGGAATCAACATTGCCGAGAGAAATATCAACTACTTCAGATATGTAGATGATACCACTCTGGTGGCAGAAAGTAAAGAGGGACTAAAGAGCTTCTTCATGAGGGTGAAAGAGGAGAGTGAAAAAGCTGGCTTGAAATTCAACATCAGAAAAATTAAGATCATGGCATCCAGTCCCATAACTTCACGGCAAATAGAAGGAGGAAAAAGTGGAAGCAGTGACAGATTTTAATTTCCTGGGCTTCAAAATCACTGCAGATGGTGACTGCAGCCATGAAATTAAAAGATGCTTGCTCCTTGGAAGGAAAACTTTGACAAACCTAGACAGCGTATTAAAAAGCAGAGATATCACTTTGTTGATGAAGGTCCATAAAGTCAAAGCTATGGTTTTTCCAGTAGTCAGGTACGGATGTGAGAGCCGGACCATAAAAAAAGCTGAGCGCTGAAAAATTGATACTTTTGAATTGTGGTGCTGCAGAAGACTCGAGATTTCCTTGCACTGCAGGGAGCTGGAATCAGTCAGTCCTAAAGGAACTCAACCCTGAATATTCATTGGACGTACTGATGCTGAAGTACCAATACTTTGACCACCTGATGCAAAGAGCCAACTCATTGGAGAAGACCCTGATGCTGGGAGAGATTGAAGAAAAAGGAGAAGGGGGTGGCAGAGGATGAGAGGGTTAGATAGCATCACCTCAATGGACATGAATTTGAGCACATTCCGGGAGATAATGGACAACAGAGGAACCTGGCGTGCTGCCCGCTTCCTTTGCTGGAGTTGCAAAGGGTCCAATACAACTTAGTGAATGAACAACAACAACATTTCAAATTCATGAATGAAAAGTTTTGAAAATTTATGTTCTTTCTTACTTATAAGTACCCACATAATATCCTTGATTTTGCCTCTTGGCCTGCAAAGCCTAAAAAATATACTATCTGACCCTTCACAGAAAATGTGTGTTGACCTTGCTCTGACTAACCAGATGAATGAGATTTGCTGTGAGTGGAGACTTTGTCAACAGAATGCTCTCTAAATAATTATCTATCACTGATTTAAGATTGCTTATGGCAAACACACTTAGAATCTGTGGATTTACAACTCCCTAGAGAAGGTCATGCGAGCTATACAGCTCTGAGGTATAAAATGGAGGTATGTCACAACCTAAACACACCCACTCTGTGAGCTGACCCCCAACTCTCAGAGGTCTCCCCTGTTATTCTAGAAGGAAGGACCTACAAAACCAGCAGGAAGTCCTAAATTTCTCCCCGTTCTGCCTGTGCCTTTTTAAAAATTGGAGTGTAATTGCTTTACAATGCTGTGTTAGTTTCTAGCCCATGCCTTTTGATTGCTTGTATCTTTGAAATTATTAATAAAACTTGATACTAGGTAAGGTCTCTGATGTTTGTGAGTCAGATATGATAGTCTAGTCCCAGGTGTTAGTTGAAACACTATTCATGCATTTAAAAACTTAAAGTAAATTTTCAAAGAGTCAAGCCAAGCAGTCTTGGAAAGACCATCCCAAATATAATTTTATGCTTGGAGTAGAGAATAATTAGTTTCTCTGAAAACAGGTAAAAGACCCATATTTTCTAAAAGGAGTACTTGGTGTGATTTGGTAAGGAGCACAGTCACTTCTGTTTAACAGTCCCTTTGAGATCAGTCTCTTCTATAAAGTTCCATCGCGAGCATACTTAGTCCCTCAGTCATGTACGACTCTTTGCAACCCCATGGGCTAACCAGCCTCCTCTGTCCATGGGATTTTCAGGCAAGAATACTGGGGCGGGGGGGACCTGATGAGATCTGCTATCTTTAATGTCTTTTTCCTAAAGGTATATAACTTCAGTCCTCATTTGCATCATTTTGTAATGTTTCTACTTAGACTCCTCATAACTGACAAGAAAAAAACTTGTAAAGATGGAAAAAAAATTATAGTATTTAATTTTATAAGCGACAACTTCCTGCATCCCACATATTGGAAACATGACATCCTCATGATTTTGAATCAAGTGGAAGTGTGTCCTAAATAGGCTTGTGGGAGAAGAATGACAGGAAGTATTGAGTAAAATAGTTTACTTGAGTGGCTAGTGCCTTTATGAGACATACAGTTATAAACATATTATGTAACCCTTTTCTTCTTTTTCATTTCATATATGACCAAACATCTCAAAATATCCCTACTTTTTTAGATTTTATTAACTTTATTCAACAGTCTAATAAAGATAGAAAAATGTTACAATTTTATACATACCTACATATACTTTCATTTTTTCTGTTTATTTGTTTTTTATGGAAAGGTGTTTTATTTCACACGTAGCAAGCAGTGTGTACATGACAATCTCAAACTCCCAATCTATCCCTCTCTCACTGCCTCCCTGGTAACCACAAGTTCATTCTCTAAATTTGTGAGTCTGCTTCTGGTTTTTAAATAAGTTCATCTGTATATTTTCTTTTTAGATGCAGCATATAATTGATATCATATATTTGTGTTGCTCTATGTTACTTCACTTAGTGTGATAATCTCCAGGTCCATCCATGTTGGTGCAAATGACATTATTTTGTTCTTTTTTATGGCTGACTAGTAGTCCGTTGTATATGTGTACTGTATCTCCTTTATCCATTCCTTTGTTGATGACATTTAGGTTGTTTCCATGTCTTGGCTATTGTAAACAGTGCTGCAATAAACACGAGGGTGCACGGATCTATTTGAACCATGTTTTTCTCTCATTTTTCATTTTAGGGCAAAATATTAACAGAGTATCCCCATCTCATGGGCTTTCCCTCCTCCCCCAGTTTCACAAAACCTTTGGTAACTAACTAAGAAAATGCAGAAGATCTTTCAAACAGAGGAAACCACTGATTCCCAAGCTCTCAGAAAAGGGAAGAGGAAAAGGACGGAGCCAATGGACTCAGAGAACGTAAACAGTGACCTGGATAAAGCACAGGTGGGTGTGCTGCTGCTGGGGGCCACTTTCTTACCTTGCTCCACCGTGATTCCACAATTCCTTTCACAATTTATTAGTGCATTTCCCCCTCTTGTCTCAGTTTATTCTTCCCTTTAATGCTTTATTCAACTGAAGGAATAAAATTTCATGTTCTCTTTTTATTATTGAACAAGGTGAATTAGAAACATACTCAAAAGACATCTTACATACTTCTATTGAAGTGTGGCCAATTATGCATTGTTCAAACTTTCCTTGATATCCTGGGATATTAAAGATCAGCACACCATCAAAAATGTCTTTTTCTTTCCCCAAACCACTGGAGAAATTGGAACATCTCTTCTAAAATTTATTGGCTGCTTTTCTTTTTTGACGGCTGTTTGTAGTCAGGGCCCCTTTCTTGTTTGTATTCATTCATTTATTCCTTTTTAATCTGAATTCCCTACTCGCATTCTCCTCCTGCACTTTGGACAGACTATCCTTGTGTTTATTCTGTGCCTTTTTGTGTGTCTTTATAATGCATCAAGTGTTTATGTGCATATATTTTTTATTTTTCCTATGTTTTAGAATATTTTTTAGTCCCTGGGAATGGTGTCTGGCGGCATCGAGAATGGTCCAGCCTGTGGCACACGTCCGTCCTAGGCTGCCCTACAGCACAGCCTCTAACAAAGCTAGACTGACTTGAATCCCTGGCAGTAAAATCATTTACCTTTAAACCCAGGAGTTTGGGGAAGTACCAAAATCCACGTGTGGAATGTGCCCAGGCTGACTTTGAGAAGTTGGCTCTGTGAGACCCAAAGATCTTATGACATTTTCTGAAATGAAACATCTCAGCTGGGCATATGGTGGGTCCATGTCTGCTAAGGGTGTCCGTGACTGGGTTACACATTCTTTCCTTATGGAGGGACAGAAAATCCTTGTAAAATTCTTGGAGGCATAAGCACAGAGTCAGAAACCTAAATTTAAAATGAAGCCTTTTTCACCTGAAATGAATGAAATATTGTTAATCAACTATACTCCAATATAAAATTTTAGATTTTTAAAATAAAATAAAAATTAAATGGAGCATTTTTGGATAATTAAAAAATCAAAAGGCTAAAAATTATATAGTGCATAAAATATATAGTATGATCTATATATGTGTGTCATATTATATATATCATATAGTGTATATATATATGTATATGTATATATATAGTGTGTGTGTGTGTTTGTGTGTGTGCCTGTAAAACATCTCCCATCTGTTCTCCACCCCCAGCCCCCATCACAGGGAACCATATGTTTGGCTTTCTTGTTTATCATCCCAGTGTTTCTTTGTTAAAGCAAATTGAATGTAGATTTCTCATCCCCTCTTCCGCACAAAGAGTAACTTACTAGATAGGCTGCTTTGTACTTTGCTTTTTTTATTTAGCATATTTTCAAGATCTTTCTATTAGTGCATAAAGAACTTTCTCTTCTGTACATCAGCCCCCACCTGGGTGTATATACCCTTTTTTACTTAGCCAGTCCCCTAGCCTGGATATGGCTTGTTTCCAGTCTTCTTCTTTCTACAAATCACGCTGTACTGTACAACATTATGGCTCCATCATCTTGCACATCATTTAGTAATATGCTGGTATCATGATATACACCTCAATCTGTTTCTGATTTTTCAATCAGTGCTGCTTTTAACTTCTGTCTGTACTGCTGTTATACATGATTCATTGTGTCTAACAAAGCACAGCATTGTTTCACATGTACTTTCCTCCAATGATGAAGACTTAGATTTCCTCCAGCATCTTAGTACTACAATCAATGACAAAGTAAATGTCCACATACATGTCCTTTTAAGAAACAGCGTGAGAATGTCTCCAGGATAAGCACTCAGAAGTGTGAGTAATTGCTCTCATATGACAATGAAATTGCTTTCCAGAAGGTGTGCATTGGTCCACATGCCCAGCAGCAGCGCCTCAAGGGTTCCATGTTTGTGCTTCCCAGCCAACACGTAGCATTTATGTCCTTATTGCATATATTTGGTAATTGAGGGGAGAAAATGATATCTTGTTTCAATTTGCTAGTGCAGGTATGGGGTTCCAGAGGTTCCTCAAGAATAAAACAGTCCACCTGCTCTAGCAGGCCAGTGTTATGGTTTCTTTTGCAATTTGTGTCTCTCAAAAACTTTAACAGCTGATCAAACTCTTTCTATTTGGTTTCCTTGCAAGTAACTACTGCCACACATCTTATTTGGCCCTAAATAAGCCTGAAAACTCTCCTCTTTTCTTACGGCTGCCCAGCCTCTTTGCTCTCCAACTTTTGGCAGTGAGTTAGTTCCCATGTGAAACAAAAACCTTGAAGGTAATGCACTGAAGCTGAGGTTTACTTTCAGGATGGATTTCAATATCTGGCAGAGAGCACTTAAAGAGAAGCTCTTGAGAAAGCCTTGAGGTCACAGGCTTACCTCCTGCTACTTAGATATAGACATCTTTTTTTTTTCAAGCCTTGAAGATTTAACATTATTAGACTCAGTTTAGATCACTCGCTGCATTCTCAGTGTCGATGGATGAAGAAAGCCTTCTGTTTCTGCAAACCAACTAGCACTGACAGGAAGTCACTGATGCACACAGACATTCTTTTTCCAGGCTCGATAAGCACACGGTTTGCCTCCCAAGGCATTACAAGTGACCGTTTATCAACTGTGTCATCACTGAGGTCTAACAAGAGTCAATGACCTTCCAACGTGTTATGCCTGTGCTCTTTTTGCTCATAGCCTGACCTCTAAGTAATTGAGACATATGTAACTTTTGGGGTATCTGGCTTCTACTTTACAGAATCTACATTAGGATGCATGTTGCAAAAGATGTAACGAAGACCCAAATATCACAGTGGTGTATAAAGATGGTTTATTTCCCTTTCACACAACAGGAAGCAGAGTCCTGGTTGCTATGGCAGCTCCACAATGTTGAGGATCCCTCTTATCTTCTGTATCTACCTGCCTGAACACATAGCCTTGGCATCTGGGTCAAGGTGGCTGCTTCAGCACTTACCCTCACGCCTTTCTCTTTGCCAGCAAAAAAGGAGAATTGAGGCAGGCAGGATAAAATATGCCCGTTCCTTCTAAAGTCATGACCCAGTGGTGGTACACATTGTTTCTACTCCTATTGATTGGTGGAAGCTTAGTCACATAGCCACACTGAGATGCCCAGGAGTCTGGAAAATGTAATCTGGCTGACACCCACCTGCTGAGCTAAAAACCTCCAGCAATATGTAGAGGAGTGGGAGAACAAAGGCCTGGAGATAGCCAGCAGCCTCCATCACCGCCCGTACCTCCACTGCGTTTTTATACTTTCTGCTGGGTTTCTTCACCTATTCTGCGGGATTCCTGTTCTCTTCTTATTGATTGGCACATATACTTTATCTGTTGGAGGTTTTAGATATCTTCTCTAGATCTATTGTGGAGAAGGCAATGGCACCCCACTCCAGTACTCTTGCCCAGAGAAGCCCAGAGACAGGAGCCTGGTGGGCTGCCGTCTATGGGGTCGCACAGAGTCGGACACGACTGAAGTGACTTAGCAGTAGCAGCAGCTAGATCTATTGTCTATTAACTTTGTCTTCCAATGATGTTTACAAATGGATTCATTTTAGCTTGATTTTATTTCTCTCTTCTATGAACTTGCTGCAAGAACTAGATCATGTGTTCTGCTTTTTTTCCAATTACTTTTTTCCAATTACTCTGCATAGAATTATGATCTCAATAGGCATCCTTCAGTTTTTTCAAAAATATTTCATTTCTATTTAACCAAATCTGTCATATTCTCATTTAAAATTTATATATCTAGTGTGAATACATTAGCTACTTGCCCACATAGGACAATAGTCATTTTCATTACCAGTATATATATTATATATGTCACATACATATATGGAATAATGAAATATATACACAGCCATAGATTTGTATATTTGTAAAATAAGGAGTGAGGTTGAATGTATACATTACCAATCATACAGAAATGAAATTGTATTTTCTATAACTGATCCTACCTGGCTTTCAATTCACCATCCCTGCTTGACAAGGAAGTGGGGGGATGGGGAATTTGAACTTGTCCATTGACAGTGAATTACAGTCAGAGTGTTCCGGGGTTTAAAAGTCCCTTTAAGGCATTGGTATGATTTAAGTCTCAGTGAGACTAGACTCTCAGCCTCCTCCGCTTCCTGTTTTTTTCTAAGAAATGATTCAAGTTTTGAGGAGTCTTCCACGCCTCCTGCAGAGGTGCCTGCTCTTCACCCGGGCTCGAGTCTTCTTTGTGGTTCCTGGGTGTCCGGTACTGTGACTGCTGAGGCACAGGGGTCCCTCCAGCCCCCGGGGGTCCTGCTGGCACCATCTACTGAGGTTTGCCATGCTGGGACCCACTGCCATCTTCTGTAAGTTTCTGTCACTGTATCCTCTCTGTTCCCCTGTTTCCCCAGCACTTACCCAGTTCCTGACCGGGACACAGGGACCATCCGGATTCTCCAGCTGCTTTGCCTGATCTCCGAGGGGTCTGGACACTGTCTCTGGTTCACTTGGCCACACGGCCCTTTTGGCCATTTCTGACCTGGGGCCCAGAAAGGCACCGTGTTGCCCTAATGTTGCTGGACAGGGAGCCCATTTAAGGCATTTATGATGCACTGAGAAGCCCAGAGCTGACCCTGCTGCCTAGACTGCCTTCATTCATCTGGGTGTTTCTGTCATCTACCCTGACCCCAGTGATCCACCTCCATTCCCCCCAAAGGTCAGGGCAGGAAGAGCAGACACGAATCTTTCTGTCTTTCTTGTCCCTAATCCCTCTTGCTCCTCAACCCAGCCCGAGGAAGTCTCTTCCCTTCCTATTCAGCAGGAACTTTCTTGATGCCATGCCTTTATCTCTCTCTCTATTAAAAAAAAAAATTATTGTAGTATAGCTGATTTACAATATTGTGTTAGTTTCAGGTGTACATGTGCCTTTATCTTTTCTCCTCTGAATCTAATTTTTACAAACATCATCCTCCAGGCTTCGAGGTTTGGATCCTTATAAATTCTAGTCTGTGTTCTAATTTCCCAGATTTAGATTTATAGAAATATAAAGATCAGTTTTATAATTTGAGATAAATTTTTTCTTTCTCTACAAAGCTTAGGTTTTACAGCTCAAATGTACACATTTCAGACTGTTGTCCTGCTGTCCTCAAAAAATATCTTTTAAACTAAAAGGTAAACATCAGTGCTTTGTTCTGGGTAAATCTCTCTCCTTTTTCTGGTGGAATAAACCCCCAAATTGGCCTCATGGCATAGCTCAACAGAGAGGCTGTGGATGAAGGCAATGGTAGAAAAATGTGGATGTGGATGAGTTACAAAGATCTGAATGGCACTCTGGTTGTTTCCGCTCTGTTATACTATTTTTCTACTTTGTGGTTTTCACTAACATTAAGCTGAAAGTCAGAATCCTGATGATTGTTTTGAGAAAGACAAGTGTGTGAAGCTTTGATGTCCTCCCTTACTCTGAGTTCCCCTGGATGGTGGAGGACCAAGCTGAGGCTAGATCACTCGAAAGGACCCAGCTCCCTCCTGGGAGAGCAGGAGCCTGCAGGTCTGATTAAGTCCCAGCAGCATCCAGAACACAGGATAAACCATGAGAGCTGCCTTGATGCTTTGTTGTGCCTGCCTTGTATTTTAGAGAGACCCATATTCGGGAAATGCCTTTCTGCCTGGTGAAAGCTCCAGTGAGGATGAAGAGCCTCTAGCAGAACTGTCAAAGGACGAATTGTGCACAAAAATAAAAAGCCTGAAACAAAAACTAACAAACATCCGGAAAGAAAACAGCCGCCTTCGACAGTCTTTGGTCATGCTGCAAGGTAAACCTAGAGAAAACTGACATTTTTAGATAAAAGGAAAAATACTTGATGAGTGAAAAGTATTCAAATCAGTTGTCAAGAATGAAAAAAATCAGTGCCTTAGAGAAAAAATTAAAAACTACATTTTAAGAAAATCTATGATTACACAATTTAACATGGATACACTCGATCAAAGCCTCAGTTTATTGCTTAGAAAATTTTAGATTATTCCTACAAAATACCAAATGTTGTATTCATTTAATAATGTCCAACAAATATTTACTGAGCATTTAATATAGGCCTAGAGAGAAAAGATAAGTTAGACAAGAGATACGTCACTGTGTTCACGATGTGCTTATCTCGTTCCCCTCTGCTAAGGAAACACTAGAAAATGGGGCCTGTGGTGATCCCTTATAGAATCACTGGAATTAAAGATTCCACATATTACATTTCAGATTTGGAGTTGGGAGGAGTGGAAAATAATCACATTCCATTGAAGACTTACAAAGGAGAAAGATAGGCCCAAGAAAATTAAAACTCCCCTGGTATGATGCCTTTTGGCAGAACCTATTAATATATTATGTTTAAGTGTTTATTTTTTTAATTATGTTTTTCATTTGTAGTTCAGAATCATGCACTATTTTTACAGCTGAATTATATTCTGTGTTGGAAAGCATTCTTTCCAACTCAAAACAGTAAACACATAGTGTATTTTGAAAATAAATCTCTCTGGCTGCTGTGTACAGAATGCGTACAAGGAGCACAGAAAGGAAAGTGGGGAAGAACCACTCTGACAGGTGTTCCAATCCTCATACTAGCGGGATGGCAACCTCGCGTAGGGCTGTGGCCATGGAAATAAAGAAGACAGTCTTGCAGTATTCTGGGAGGCAGAAATGGCAGGAGACAGAACAATGTCATGAGCTAGATCAACACAGTGATGGCTCAGATGCCTCCCTACAATTATTGATTCAGTCGAAGCCTTCTTAGTTTTAAGCAGAAACAGGGACATGTGAACGGAAATAAGATATTTATTCCACCAACAAGCTAGTCTCTCTTTATTTTTTACATCTTAAATACTGCATTTTTATAACTGATGGTTTTTCCTGGTGAGGTTTTTGCAGTTTTCCTTTTTATAAGGACTTCAGTCATTTTGGATTAAGGCCTACCTCATTTTAACTTGATTACATCTGTAAGACCCTATTTCCAAATAAGGTCATACTCTGAGATTTTGGGGGGTACACAGTTCAGCCCACAATATTCCATATTGCTAACCCCAAAGGTCATTTCTGAAGGGTCCCATTAAGTGCCTGCTGCCTTTGACACCTTGGCTACCTCTCCTCCCTCGGCTTCGAGGACACCTGTTTCCTCATGCGCTGCTGAGCTTTCCATCCTGGTCTGTGTGTCCGCCTCATTTCATCACTTTACCCTCCAAATATCTAATGATGCTCAGGCTCCGCCCTTGGACTCCTTTCTTTTCTGTCTGCGTGCACTCCATGGGGGATCATGTCCAATTCTGTGGTGTTAAATTCAACAGTAATTGTGATTCTGAGACATACTTCTGGCCTGGACTTCTCCCTTTAGCTCCCGACTCTCTGTCTGACTGTATTAACATGACTGGCAGGTATCTCAGGCCAGCCTGTCCCGTCCATGTGCCCAGCCTTCCCCTCCACCTGCTCCTGTCTTTCCTTCTTCATTCTCTTGGTTAATGCTAACTGCATAGTTAAAATTTCTCAAGTCAAAAATCACGATGCTATCTTGTAGTTCTTTTACATCCTACAGTCAGTCTCTTGGCAAATCCTACTAACTTCCCCTCCAAAATGTCTCTGGTTTAGACTAGTCCAGACGGCCAGCATCTCTCACCCAGGCTATCAGGGTGGCTTTCTCCTTGGTCTTGTGCTTTTACTCATGCTGCTGTGCGGTCCCCTCTCAATACGCAGCAGTTGCAACCCCGCTCCTTGCAGGCCCGCTCACGCCATTCCTCTCTGAAATCTCTTTGGTGCACGTCCACCTCACAGGGGGAAGAACCAAGGTCAGTTTTATGATCTCGAGTCCTTACATGATCCAGGCACCTCCCCACCACCTACCTTTCTGGCCTTGTTTTCTATTCTCTCCCCATCCTTCTTTATGATTCAACCCACCCTGGACCGCTTGTTTTCCCTCTGAATACATCAGATGTGATCTGACTTCAGGGTCTTTGTACCAACTTTCTCCTTGGCTTGGGATGTTCCTCCCCCAGATGTCCATGTGGTTTGCACACCCACATACTTAAAGACTTCACTCTAAATTCATTTTTGCCCTGACTTACTGTCTTCATTTAAACTATCAGCCTCTCTTCCCTCACGATGTTTTTTATCCCCCTCCCCTTCTTTGCTTCCATATTTAATATTGTCTGCGCCTCACATGTGCACACACTGGTCCTGGAAACCAAAGTAAAGTTGGCTATCAGCTGGACTTCAGGCAACAGGAAGAGTCACGAACTGCCAACTGCCACTACAGTATTCATGCATGCATTTCTTCATTCAGCCAATAATTATAAAGTCCTCTACATATCAGGCACTGCTGTAAGTACTTAGGAAAACCCAGTGAACAAAATAGCAGAAGATCCCTGCTCTCGTGAAACTCACATTCCAGTGAGGCAAGCAGTCAAGATCATGAAAAATAGTGATTAAATAAATTACATAATATGTTAGCTAGTGGGAAAAGCTATGGAAATAAATAGCTGGTCAAGGAGGACGCGGATTTGAGAGAGAGTGTGTGTGTTTTAAAATAATGTGGGTCCAAAAAATAAATAAAAATAAAATAAAATAATGTGGGTCATAGTAGGTCTCCTTGTGAATCTATAGGTGGGAACTAGGACAATATCAAAAAGTTGAAATTTCATGTATAATCCAAGTAAGAAAGGGATCTGAGAGAAGAGTGCACGGTGGTTAGTCATCTTTTGCTCAGCAGTATTCTTCTTTGAACTAAGAATCAGTTTTTCTGCCTATAAAGCCTACTAACTAAGAAATATGGCAGAACATATATGCCATTCTAGACATTCAGAATGGCAGATGTGTTTGTGCTCTGTGTGCAAATGTTAAACATTTGAAACATATCTTGTGGACCACAACTAACCAGCACAATAAGATAGAAAAGGAAAGAAGTGATATCTCTTCTGTACAGAGTGCCATTAAATTGTTACTATGTGTAAAGGGTGAATATATACCCAGGAAAAATAATGCCTCAGCTGAAAACTCAACTCTGTTAACTAAACAGATTTCAGTAAAGAAGGAAAACTCAATAATTAAGTTTTGCCGAGGTTCATTTAAATATAGTAGAAAGCTGTCAAAGTTTCAGACGTAGGCAAAGTAAAACCAATGAATCACTGAAGTAGTAATCATTAAAAGTTTATTGTGCTCACATCAAAAAGACAGTTTGCAAATCAGGAGCACTCAAATCAGAATATGGAATGAGGCTCAGGGGTATATTTTTATAAAGTAGCTTGTATAGTGAGAAAGCAGTGACTGTTTACACTTGTTTATAATATTGGTTATAATATTAGAATTTTTTAAATGGCGGGCAATTGGTCAGTGGTTGCCTCATATCAACCTTGGGAAGCAGTTCAAGTTTTGTTTATGATTTTTTCAGAGATGAAAACAAGAAATGGCCCAGGACAAGTTAAGTCTTGCAAAACAAGCTAAATTAAGGCTTCTTTGTGTGATTAACTGGTTTTGTCTGCTTAGAGAATTTTCAAGGCTGGTCTCCCTTTGTTTCTGATTTTTAACAAAGCTTAAGTTAAATGTGTGAATCTCCCTCTTTTCTTGAAATTGTATGAAAAAGAAACTTAAAATGTATAATACCACAAGGACCAAGAAAACTCAAAAGGAGACCACAGCAGATAAAAGGTGCCGATAAAATTTGAGAGGCTGCGAGCAGATGGATGAGTGGTAACTGACTCCATCTGGAGAAATCTGAAAGCTCAGGGCCTGTGATGAGTGGGGGAAGGTACGGGCAGGGGACTGAGAAAGAGGAATTCAAAGGAAATAAGTCACAGCACAGCCCAGAACTACAGAAGGCTTGGAACTGTACTTGAGAAAGGGCTTATGTTAGTCCTGATAGTGTGAAAACTGGAGGAGTCATTGAAAAACTACATTAAAACCCTTTAGGACCCAGTCTCACATTTTTCCTATGCAGCCGGCATCTTCCACCCTTCCCACAGCACAGGACGGGTGTGTGCTCTTAGGAGAGGTTGATCCAAAGCCATGAGCTCAGGGACACTGGGCACAGTTGAGGGAAGGGGTGTGATCATTGGAGGAACTCCTCTAACATGTAATGCAGAGACCAAAACAGGAAACAGAGAAAATGCAGGGAGCAGAGGGAGGCTCCATGAAACAGGGTGGTTTAAGGAAGGAACAGTCAAAGACATCCATAAATGTCTGAAAGTGAAAGTTAAGAAAATCTTGTAGATGTCGCAACAAGGAGACTAAGAAAAGGGAAATAAAAGAGATTAGGGAAAACAGAATGAGTCCAGGAGGTCAAACATCCAAAGAAAAGAGGTCCTGATAGAGAGGAGAGAGAAGAGGGAGAAATTATCTTAAAAATAAATACAGTAAACTTCTAGAACTGAAAGACATAAATTTCTAGACTAAAAGATGCTACCAAAAGCAAAAAGGCTTATCTAAGGCATAATTGTGAAATTTCAGAACTCCAGGAAGGGAAGATCCAGAAGCTTTCAGAGGGAGCAGGCTAAGACGTGCTAAGACGTGGGGGTCAGATGACATTGGACTTTTCACCAGCAACACTGGAAGTTCCAAAGCAATTGAGCAATGCCTTTAACGTTCTGAGGAGAAATGATTTAAACATAGACTTCTATACCCAGTGAAACCATCAACCAGGCGTGAGGGCAGAATAATGATATTTTCACACTTACAAAGGCCCAGTGTTCTTCCTGTGCTTCCTTTTTCAAAAATTAAGGGACGGCGTGTTCCTCCAAATGAGAGAGTGAATCTAGAAAGTCAATCTGAAAATGGTAGTCCAGCTCA